AAAGTTTCACCATGAATACTCTGTCTAAACAATCTATCAAGTAATATACTGTGTTGTTGTAGTAGCTGAGCTTAGGATTCTTCTACAGTAGGTATCTGTGACTTGTTGGCGATAAATTCAACGTTAAATGAACAGCACGCACTCCACTTTTTTTCAAAATAATATATATATTCGGAACAAGTTAAACGTATGTACAACAAGTTCTTTACACTATAGAGATTTGAGGGATATCATAAACACTATATAGTTCTTTTCTTCTTGTGAAAAGTCCACTTAGGCCTATTCAATTACTTTATAATTTCAGTTGACGAGCTTAACTACCTTTCCCTATTTCTATCGCACTAGTATTCTGTGTATAATTCACTTACAACTGTGACGCGAGTTACTGCAGTAGTATACTTCTCTTCCAGTAATCGCTTGGTCTTCTTTCTTCAAAATATCCTCTGTTCCTTTTGTCAACGTGCACTCAGGCTTATTCAATTACTTTAGAACCACGCTTTGACTGAATAGATTCTTCTTATCTCCTTTTCTACTGTTAGTCTTACTCTAACATATTAAACATTAGGCCTATGTTAATTGTTGGGCCTATCACTTTTACGGCAGTTAACTTCACGCCGAACTTTTCCTTGGCCAAATTTCTATTTCCCGTGACTTTATTCTCTCGTCTGCTCTGTCTGTCTACTGTTTCCACTCGTCTCACACTATTTTTATGTTTATCACATAATAGTCTGCCCGCCTCCATAAATTTAGACGTCAATGTATTGCACGCGGCGTTCGATAGTCTCAACATCAATGAATTATAAACACAACTTCCAATAATCGTCTGCTTTTAACTCTCTTACTATAGAAAACACGACAAAAAACCACTAAACAATCATGAAATATTCAATCACAAAATACATTGATCAATAATATCTACACTGAACAGACTTTTATATCATCACATCCAGTGGTGAAGTGGATTCTTAAGGAAGTACAGGTACTTAACATTTGCCAGGATCTGACCTCACAATCAAGTTTTCTTTAAATTAATGGCACCTCTTCATGCACTATTCAAAGTGAACTGCCAAGAAATATGAATAATAGCAGATTTTGGTACCGGCTCAAATAAAAGGGGGGAGGGGGTACATCATGTGGAATTTCAAAAAGAACTGATAAGAAGTTCACTCCTAGTTTCACTGGCGTAACTTTGGTTTGAGGAAGAGAGATAGACAGTTTCTTTATCTGGGATGTTGACGAGGGTATTTTCACAAAAAGGCACATCATTTAGCCTTGAAAAGTGGGGGGGGGACATGTTCCCCCTCGCCTTCGTGAAAATCATACCAATGCCTGGTTGTATCCTCATACTAGGGAGAAAAACAACAACAACCGAGATCCACAAAAATTGCAGCTTTTTAAGCAGTTCCAACAATTAAAATTTATTAGAATTAAACTTTCATATCATAAAATCGTTAAATTTATATGTTCATTTCAGTGAAATTACTATACAAATTTATTATGTTGAAAGCAAGGTAAAATACAATCGAGGTTAGGAGTTTTTATACTGTGTAGAATTGGATGTGGTAAATGTAACATACAGACCATAGGACATAACCCTCCTATGAATAATAATGGTAATTACAGTTGCGGTCAAATTAGTATCTTTATAACACTAGTATTTCTTTAAATACAGGATTTCTAGAATAATACAAAATATTTCTAATCGCAGACACCGAAACCTACAAGCCCACTTGTCTTAGGCCTAACGTTAGCTACGTCTTTATTAAATACCGCCATGTTCGATTAAAAGAGACAAATGAACACTTATTTGTGTACGTTTTTTGTTTTTTTTAGTTTAGTTAGAGCTAAGCTTTACCGTAGTTAATACTATAAATAAATTAACTTATAATGTTATTCTACGACCTAACGTTAGTCCTTTTTTTAAAAAATTTGGTCGTTTAATATGTACAAAATGCTTACTAAACTATATTTACATCCGCCTTTTTTATATGCCTAGAAATGAAGTGCGAGCGCATGCACATTTAGATAATAAGGTGCGTGCACATTTTTAGGAAAGACAAAAACTGAGTATTGTTATAACAGAAGATCTGTTTATAAGCTAAAAATAGTTTAGTCTAATTTAAAATTGCAGCTAAAAATTGTTTGTTTTAGAGCACAATGGGTAACTTGCACTGT